TTTCCAAAAGGTCTGACGGTTGGCGCCGCAACGTATTGTTTTACCCCATAAGCATCTCATTGCGAAGAGGTCCAAAATCTTAGTTATGCATTTTTTTTTGGTCCATGTCAAGCATGCCTGACCGTATATTGGGCGCACAGGGAAACATACGGCTGTAGAAATGTCATGATTCCATGTTGTGCAAATTTCTGATTTGTAGAATCATTTAAAGCATCCATTTTTTGCACTGATATGGAAAGTCTGGTGGTCTTGGGACATATTCTGGAGTTGACTCGATGGCTAGATACGGCTTGGCAGCCTGGGAAAGAAACTTTCATGTTTTGTTGCTACGAATAGGACTATATCAGAAGCCAATGATATTTAACTCAACATCCCGAGATACTGTCACAAAACCGCGCAATACAGGCTTCCCCCATCTGTAGAATCGTGGATCTTGTGCCGAGCCTTGTTCACAGATCACCAGTGGAGAGCTTCTCAAGGTACAGCCTTTCTTCGCGAATGAAACAATAATATGTGATGTAACGAAGCATACGCCTAGATAAGGAAACCTGCATCTGGCAAACATCACGGAATACTACTTCCTGACTTGCCACCCCCTCATGCTCCATCCGAGCCAGGGTCGATCCGGCTCACGGCACCCAAAGTCAGCGCAACAGTGCATTCAGCCTGCAGGTCGCGAACTCGATGCCTTCCGACAACCGAAGTACTTTGCCACGGGCCGAACTCAACGCATTCATTGCCAAGCAGCCAGTATATTCTCATACAAGATCGGTCTCCCTATTTGCCGCGAGCTCACTACATATGCCTAAAAGAGCCGCGTTGCTTTGATCTCCCGATTAGGCATGATCTACCTGCTTCCGCTGTCTACCCTTGTCAAGGTCTCGTCAATACGACCTCGCCTAGATGCGGCTCCTGTCACAGTCCCTTCGCAGATTCTTGAATGCTGCACTATACGCGAGTAAGGCTGTGGCACGGTTCCCTCAGCATGGTCGACGCGGCGGACGGTATCCCGGGGGTCCCGAGCCGCGAGAGGCTATGCTGTATCTGCCATCGAGGTAGTCGGAACTTAATTGCCCCTGAAACAGGTCTGAGCTCAATAACACCTAGAGGCCTGTGTGAGCCGACCTTAAAATGTTATTCTACGGGGTCTCAGATCTGCTGTCTTTGGCGATCAAGCTGAGGACATTGCTTCCACGAACGACAGCACAATGGGGCCTCTCTTTTTAGCTGTATGGGTCTTACATGCTTCTGCCACGATCAGTGCTGCACTCAACATCCGCGTTCCCAACGTTGTTTCTGTCGAGGTTAACGGACCCAAATACGATTGCCGGTGTTCACCTGAAGATGCCTGCTGGCCCGATAAGGCGGCATGGGATGGCCTGAATGCAACAGTGAACGGGAATCTTTTGCGGCACATTCCACCAGCTGCCGTTTGCTACAATGAGTTTCGAGGAATTCCGACTTACAACAAGGCCGCCTGTGATGAAGCCACATCCATGTGGAAGGATGAAAGATGGCAGTGAGTATCACGAGCAAGCAGGTTAGAGCAGCAACCCTAACACTGGCAGAATCTCCCGACCGGCCTCGGCCCTCTGGACCTGGGGAAGCAACAACACCTGCGAACTAACCACTGATCCCTCTGCCAGTTGTACAATGGGCTACTACCCAGAGTTTGTGATCATGGCCAAGACTAGGGATCACATCAAAGCTGGGGTCGACTTTGCTAGAAGTCGCAACATTCGGCTGGTCATGAGAAACACTGGCCATGACTTTGAGTCTAGGAGTGCAGGAGCAAATTCGTTGGCGATCAACACACATGGCTTCAAGGACATCAGCTTCACCGATAAGTATGATGGACCTGGTGGGTACCGTGGGCCTACGATCACTATTGGAGCAGGCGTGCAAGGTTTCGAGGTTCTCGAGGCAGCGCATGCACAGAATCCTCCACGACTCGTCGTCACTGGCGAATGTGCGGCAAGTACCAATTCAAAGCGTCCATCACACAAACTACAGCTAACTGTCTGAAGACTGTTGGCGTAGCTGGCGGCTTCATCCAAGGAGGCGGCCACGGCCCCTTAACCAGCTTGCACGGATTCGCCGCTGACAACGCCCTCTCGTTCGAAGTCCTCACGGCCTCTGGCCATTTCATCACCGCCAACGCGAATTCAAATCCTGATCTCTTCTGGGCACTAAAGGGGGGCGGTCCAGGTACGTTTGCGGTGGTACTCTCAGTGACCATGAAGACGTATCTCGATAACACACGGACTGCCGGGCTTTTCCTAAATGTCAATGCCTCCACCGGGGCTACATTCTCTCAAGCTCAGCGTGCAGCGGGCATCATCAACGAACACGCCAATTACATGGTTGACAACGGGCTCTACGCAATCTACGAGCTTTATCCGCCAGCGATATCCGGAGCTCTTCACGTTCAACCCATCATGGGCTTCAACTTGACTGCGGAACAACTCAGGACCACTGTCGCGCCGCTATTCAAGGCCCTCGACGACGAAAAGATTCCTTACAATTCAGGGTTCCTTGAGTATTCCGACTTTTACAGTATTTACCACGATATCTTCGAGCCAGAGCAAGCTGCCCAGAATGGCCTGACAGGTGGATGGGTATTCACCCACAAGGACATGAGGCCCGAGAACCAAGGCGCCGTGGCTGATGCCATTGCACTAGCCCTGTCCCCACGGTCAGATATGCTAGGCATAGTCATCGGTCACATATTTGACCCTGGACACACAGTGACCAAGTCGCAAAGCGCAACGCACCCCCGATGGAGGGGCGCTACGATCCGCTTCATGTCTGTCCTTGTCCAGCCCCTCGATGCGACTTGGAAGCAAAAATTGGAACATCATGATGTGATGGCAAATGTTATCACGGAGAAGTACAAGAAAGCTGCACCTGATGGTTTGGCCTACGTCAACGAGGTGAGTAGTTCGACACAGAGCATGGAGTACGGTGCTGACCTATGGCTAGAACTATGCCTTCATGAACAACTGGCAAGATGCTTTCTGGGGCGATAACTATTCAAGACTAAAGGAAATCAAGAAACTGTGGGATCCTCAAGGTGTCTTCTTTTCACCCTCCACGCCTGGTACGGAAGATTGGCACATTACAGATTATGCCCATAGGCTTTGCAAGAAGCTGTGATGCGCGGAAGGCGGTAGTGCTCCGACTAGTCTGGATACTCTTTCTTCCACATGGCCATAAGGCGCTATGTAATTCTTTTCGAAATGACTACAAAAACATGATGCGTATATGCATGCAATGTTCACTCATCCCAGATCACGGCACTCACGCCATCTTCATTGTTCGGTGTCCCGAGCGCCCCAACTCTCACAGCAGCAACAGCCGCACCAAGCCGCCCGGTCGTACTATTTCTCTCCAGCACGACAACTTCCGCGCTGGTCTGTCCTCCCACAGCAACAAGATCCCCCGCCGCATTGATGTCAAACGTTCTGGGGAACCATGAGTGCGCCGATGCGATCTCCACAAACCGCAGCTCAGCGCGTCCCTCGCCATTGAGACCAATCTCATACAGCGCGATGGAATCTTCTTTCTCCCCGAAAGAGCCGTCATTGCGGTTCGATGCGTAGACAAAATTGTCTCTCACCCTGATCTCGGCTGCTTTCGCTCCCATACGTGGCACGACACCGTCAGGAAGTGTGGAAAGGGATTCGATCTGCTGCAGACCGAGGCATCCTCCCTCGTAGGTAACTTCCCAAGATGTGACGCTGTTCGAAAGCTCGTTGGTAGTGAGGAGCACGCTGACCTCAGTATTATTCGCAGGGCTCCAGAAGACCCCATGTCGGGGCCCGTCTCCTGGTGTGGCTTCTCCGGCGGGACATTGAGTGAGAAGCCCCGTCTCGGCGTCGATGGCAAAGACATGAATGCGATCTGAACCGAGGTCGGCGGTGAGGAGGAACGTGCCAGTCGGATCCGTGAACACGGCATGTGGATGAGGTGCATCTTGGCGGGGATTAGGTCCCGGAGCGGGGATAGTAAATGTGACTTGCTGAAGTGGCTGTGACGTCGGCGTCAGGGGCAGGGTGCGTGTCACGATTCGTGCTGTGCCACTGGGTGTGTTAGCTGGTAGAAAGCTGGCAAGAGAAAGATAAGACAACAACGCACTAATGTGCCATTGCGATGAAGCTCTTGCCATCCACTCCGCCGTAGCGGGTGCTGTGTACTTCACCGCCATCAGAAAGGGTCTGAATCGAGGCCTCGGCGGGCTTCAGGCTTCCATCGGCTTCAACTGTGAAGGTTGTAAGCCCATTGGGCGCAGACCAAAACGCTCCATCTGGGACGTAGAGGGTTGAGGTTTCGGCATCAAGGTCCAGCCATGAGGGCCAAAAGTTGCCGGAAGGGACGCTTGAACCGATCGCAAGCTCGTTCGTGTCGGAGAGGGTCAGCGAGTAAAGCGACCTCGAGAAGTGAGATGCAATGAGCTTGCTGGCACCCCATACTGGGTGTGACAGACCAAGGACCAGGGTGGCAAGCGCCAAAAGTTGTAGATTCATGGCGATCGTAAGGGGTGCAAAATAAAGGTTGCTTCTGGATCAAGGCCGTGAGGATCAATCTTATTTATCATGCGTTGGAACCTGAGCTCGATCCCAGTTGGCGGGTCAGGGCGCTTTCGTGATCCGGCCGTAAACCCGAATGGCTGCTCCGGGACATCCTAATCAGGCAATTCTACGGAGCCACCTGGCCTTGATGCTCGTCAAGTTTCGCATAGATCGTCATCGGCGCATGAGATCTGCGATATCTTGCTGCAATTTTAGATGAACCAGCATTGCCAATCGCGGCACATATAGTATAGGTAGTTCTGAATGGATCACTCACACAAACTGTGTCACGTTGGCAGCCGAATCAACGCCGTGATTCTTGTCTGACTGATCAGCCGGCTGTCATCACTCGGTCGAGAAGGCAAGCACATCTTGTCAGCGACTTGAGTCAATCCTTCGGTGCCAATTCAAGCACCTGCCAAGTGGTTCATATTGAATGTATGACCAGAACTGTAACGAATGTATCATATCCCGATGTCATCCCGCAATGCAGCACTGATCCTCAGCACTGTGACTCGAGCACTGCCTCACACGATCCGACGAACTGAAAACTAGCAACCGCCTTCTTCACCTCCACTTACCTCTCCTCAGGCAGCCGCAGTTTGAATGGCATACACAGTCCGGCATCCAATCTGGTTACAAACGTCCGGCGCATCACATGGAAAGCTTGCTACCGTGGTGGCCGCTTGTGCAGGACATCCAGCCGACTTGGTCAGTGTCGACGTGGTTGTGCACTGCGCGATGAAGCAAGATTTGCAAATTGTCCCAGTGGCTGTGACTGTCGGACAGACAGGAGGCTTGCAGGGCAGCGTGGTGACTGATGTCGTAGTGACCGTCTTGGTGGCTGTCTCCGTCGACGTCTTGGTGGCTGTCTCCGTCAACGTCTTGGTCACAAGCTCCGTGACCTTCTGCGTGGTGGTCTCGGTGAGTGTTTTGTATGCTGTTTCGGTCTTTGTGATGAAGGCGGTGACAGTCTTGAGGCCGGTCTCAGTCTTGGTGATGGTGTCTGTTGTAGTTTTAATGTCCGTCGTCGTCTGGAAATCTGTTGTGGTCTTGACGACAGTGTCTGTCTGAATGATGACGGATGTAATGGTCTTGGTTACGGCACAAGTTCCCTGCCTGATGGTCGTCGGCTGGAGAGTGATTTGACCGGAGGCAGCTCTATGTATGCTATTGTGAGCTTGATGAAGAAGCATTGGATGCTACCTCCAGAGTTTGTTACTCACGAAGCTGCACCTAGTGCCAGAGCAAAAATGAGACTTGAATGCATGGTTTGCGAGTCTTGGGACGAAGCTGGTAACTTTCCGGTGCTCTGGGAGTATGTCGATCATTCCTGCTTCGAAAACAGAGATAATGGCTCTTTTATGCTTACACTTTTCGTCAACGACACAAGCACACTCGCGAGCTCCCTGGGCCACGCAGAGCGAGGCCCCGCTCGAGGCTTCAGTATGGCTTCATGCTTGTATCGTCAGCCATGGTTGACGAGTGAAGCACATATCTCCTGCAGACTGGCCGACCAATGAATGCAGCAGCCAAATAGCCTATTAAACGACCGTCGTGTCGAGTGTACAGCCGGATATGGAAGCTGAATGTTTTCCTGCGACTATTTCAAAGGGCACCCAATGATCCTTGCCCAACAAAGTGCACAATGCTACTCGGGTGGCCCGGAGTTACAGTGAGAGACAGCTGAATATTATAAACCCCGCCTTCGGTTCCAACACCAGTGAATTCATGGATCAAGCCAGAGGTGGCTAAACACCCGATAAAAAAAATCTAGTGCTTGTTGTAAACCTCTGCTATTCGATGTTTTTGTGATCGTATTGGCGATCCAAAACGGACCATGTTTGTGCCTTGTATTCGATGAACCAACCGGCCTGTATCTTAGGCTGGGGTCAGAGCCTGTGGCCAAGCCAGGACAGCGCAGTTGTCCAAAATGCCAACTTTACAGTCATGTGCCTCGCGATACCGTGCGTGGAATCTGAACATGCCTGTAAGTGGCTTTTGCTGATTTCATTTTTTAATTCTTGGAATCATGTGCTTACTTTTTGGGAATACTTCATCGCCTAATCTGGCGATGCTCCAATGCCGCAAATATTACAACCATTGATCCTTCGCTCCACCATCGATCTAGGACTCGTCTAGCAGTCATGTCCCCTGTCAGCCCTGGAAAATCCATGCTGGGACTCCATTATGGGGAGCTCCTCCAACTCCAAACTTCCGTCGATTCCCACCGTAGGGGTTCATCCTTCGTCAACAGCAACATCTCATTTCGCACACACAGCATCAAACATGTCGCATCGTACAGCGACAACAGGCGCCCTCCTGGTCCTGAATGCCTTTGGCGTCCTATCTATCGGGGGCCTTCTCTTCCTCAATGGCTGGATGGACATGAAGGACGACCTCATGGCACAGTCGGAGCCGATGCTCCCAGGCGCAGGTGGCCCGGCTCGAACGTACTTTACGGGATCTGCGGCGCTCGACGAGGCCCTCACTGGCATACTCAAATTCTTCTACCCCTGTGTTAGCGGTGAGATGCCTGCGCTGTCGCTGTTCACGGCATACATGGCCGGCCAGGTGTTGCCGATACACACGGCACTGCTACTCGAAAGCTTACGAGCTGGCCATCGTGGTACGATGCTCGCTTTGTAAGAATTCCATTGACGCGTTGCGTGCTTCTATTGAGCGAAGCCTGGCTCACAGTAACAGTCCCGTCATCTGGGGAATGACATACCAAAGCATTCCCTTTGGCATCATCCTTCCTCTCTACGCGATAGCGTACATCTGGCTCTCGCCCCTCGCGAAGCCCACGGAGACCGGGACGTCGCGCGCTGCAAACCAGCTGCCCACAGACCTAGCGCGCCTGCAGACCACTGCGAGCGCCATGCTCCTCGGCTTCGCTCTGCCGTCTGTCCTGCCAGCACTGCCATCGCCCTCAATCATATCGCGCGATAGCCAGCAGATCTTCCTCGCCCTGTGGCAGGTCTTCCCCATCTGGGTGTCCCTATCACATTGGTTCCTCGCGGCAGCAGCCCGGACGTTCGGCTTCGTGGCTGGTCCGATGCATGTCTCGCCAACGGCATCGCTGCAATCTTTGCGTCACGTTTACAGGACGACGCTCAAGTATACGTCTCTTGTGCACTTTGGAGTTCTTGCGCTGGCGACATTTCCCCAACTGAGACCTGTGGTCTATGGAGGCCTGCTCCAGCAGCGGGTCAGTCTCTGGGACATATTTGTCCCTCCATCCGCGCTCTCGCGCAAGCAGATCAAGACGATGGCGGAAGGGAGCTTGACACTGCTGCAGTACGACCTATACTGTGCTTGCGCAGCTATGGCCATTTTGGTGTCCTACCTGGCTTACACCGCTGGCGGTCTGAACAGGGCTGCTGGTCTGAGCACGGTCAGGGGGCTTCTGCGCCGCAGTGTGGTTGTCGGGCCTGGGGGAGCGGTGCTGTGGGCGCTCTGGGATCGGGACGAAGAGGTGCTGGCTGGCGGGAAATGAGGGCCGTAGTTATGATCACGTTTCCGTCCGATCCCATGCTAATGAGCCAAGGTAAGATACGTTAGGTATTTGTGAGCTAATTCGCAAACTTTCACAATCTCAACTCACATGCTCACACCATCTGCCTTCTAACAACGGCGTAAGAGGTGTCATGCATTCAGTGCCTAGGTATCTGACATTGAGTCAGGCCTCCCAGCGTCCCCACTGATGAGTGTTCACAAATGTGTCAAACCTTGACCTTTCCCCCGCGCTCTGTGCACATAATGCCTCAAATTTGGCCACTTATCGTCTAGCTTCGATCGTCTAGTTGGTTAGGATGATGCATTGTGGTTCTTACTACAATACTGCATTGACGGCAGTTCGAATCCGCCTCGGAGCAACCTTTTGATGTTTTTCGTGCCTTTTTGCATGTTCCGTAGCAGGAATCATCGACAAACTTAGTTTGTAGTCTTTCTCGTGCTCCCAGTGATTTCAAAGGACTGATATGCTAGAGCTATCCTAGCATTCAAAGCCAAGCTAGGCTTCTTCCTGCTCGTGCCATGACCCGGCCCGTCGCATCCCGAAGAGCTTCTCGTCTGAAATCGACCACCTTCGTGGCCCAGTTTCGTTGGCAACATGCCTTCGAAAATCGGAATGTCGGCTCCAACTGCTGCCATCGGTATCCTCCCGAGTCCGAATGAACGCGGGGTATGCACGGGGGAGGGGAAACTTCGTTGATCATCCGCATCCCCGACCGTGGTGATTCGCCCACTTCTCCCTTCACCTCAAACGTGACCTGACAGAGTTACATGCCGATGGCTCTGGAGATGGATCGCTGTTCCTTGGTATGTTAGCTTCGACGACACCGTGCGTTACACGTGCCAAGAGCGTACTGCCGGACCAGTGAGAGACGGGCAAGCCCGGGGTGATCGACAGCAGAATGGCCTTGGAAAGTCCAAGACATGAGAAGGGGAAGTCGGTGCCGGTTGCAGTGGCAGTATGAAAGGGTAGCATATTCGTTCCCCCGAAGGTTGGGCTTTGTCTGTGTACTCACGGGTTGGTAGCGGACTACTGGCATTTATCGTCGTCACACCAGCTTCAAGCATAGATCGTGCGAGCCTCATCGTTCATGTCTCTTGAAGAAATTAGTTGAGATGCAGCTCAAGTCTCTTCGTGCTCTATTCTTAGGTCTGGCATTGGCCACGAGTGTCGGTGCCAAAGGACTTGGCCAGAATGTTCACGACATCAAACAAATGGGGAGCCGTCAAGCTCAGGACATTGTGAGTGGAGGAGTGAAGGTTCAATCGAGTTCGCGACTAATAGCACCGTTTCAGGTGACCTGGGATGATCATAGTCTCTTCATCAATGGCGAGAGGTTGATGGTGTTCAGCGGCGAATTCCACCCGTTCCGGTTTGTCTTGAATTCATTGACCTAAACGACAGTAGACCTAACGTATTAAGACTGCCCGTCCAGTCCCTCTGGCTCGATATCCTCCAGAAGATCAAGGCGTCTGGCTACAATTGCGTCTCCATCTACATCAACTGGCATCTCATCGAGGCTGAGCGAGGCCAAATTCGGATGGATGGCATATTTGATCTCAACCCGTTCTTTGAGGCTGCGAAAAAGGCAGGCCTTTATGTGCTACCTCGGCCAGGGCCGTACATCAACGCCGAGGTCGCTGGCGGCGGGTTCCCAGGATGGCTGACAAGAACGCGGGGGGCCCTTCGCACATATAACGAGGCCTTCTTCAACGCCACTGACCTGTAAGTCTATAGCCTGTTGATTGTAACACCAAAGCTGACGTTCTAGATACACCCGCGAGATTGGAAAGGTCATCGCCGCCCATCAAATTACCAACGGCGGTCCTGTCATCCTTTTCCAGCCTGAGAATGAGTACCAGAACACGATTGACCAGGAACTCTACCCAATGCCTGACTATGACTACTGGAAACGCGTCCAAAATCAGTACCGTGATGCCGGTGTCATTGTGCCGTACATCAATAACGAAGCGCACATGAACGGCTACATTACCGCCCACACGCCCGCTAGTGTAGATATTTATGGCCACGATTCTTATCCCCTCGGCTTCGACTGCGAGAACCCGACTGTCTGGCCAGACGATGGCCTTCCGACAGACTGGCTGGCGATCAATAATGCCATCGCCCCAGATACACCTTACACGATCCCGGAGGTAATTCATCCAGGGTCTATCCTGATGTTAAAGACTAATAATCGCAGTACCAAGGCGGAGGCTTCCAGCACTGGGGCGACGCTGGCTTTGAAAATTGTGCCCTCCTCTTAAACATGGAGTTTGAGCGCGTCCTCTACAAGAACAATTACGCCGTTGGCGCCACGATCTTCAATATTTACATGACATACGGCGGCACGAATTGGGGTAACTTGGGCCACGCCGAAGGCTTCACGTCATACGACTACGGCGCGCAAATCACCGAAGAACGTCTGCTCTGGCGAGAGAAATACAGCGAGGTCAAGCTGCAGGCCAATTTCTTCCATGTATCGCCCGCGTTTCTGGAAGCAGAGAGGTTCAACTCGTCTCTAGATTTCACGGATAATCCTGGTGTCACTGTTACGCCAGCCAGGACCAACACCACCAAGTTTTACATTTCACGACACACGCAGTATGGTACCGTCGACAGGGTACCGTATAAACTAACGGTCGAGACAGCAGAACACGGGGATCTTGTGATTCCACAGCTCGGAGATAGCCTGTATCTGACGAGGCGCGATTCCAAGATCCACGTTAGCGACTATCCAGTTGGCGACCATACCTTGATCTACTCGTCTGCTGAGGTATTCACATGGAAGAAGTACGATGAAAAGACGGTGCTCGTGCTATATGGCGGACCCGACGAGCATCACGAAATTGCCATCGAGGGCGCAGGCAGCGCTGACAGTGAGGTGCTTGAAGGCTCAGGTGTCAAGATTGAAGATGGAGATGGCCAGACAATTGTGGCCTGGGACGCGACGACTGACCGCAAACTCGTGCGCGTCCATCAAAACTTCTACATCTATCTCGTGGTTCGCAACGAAGCCTACAACTTCTGGGTTCCCCCGACAGGGTCTGGCGGCGATTATGGTACTTCAGACGTCATCGTCAAAGCAGGCTACCTTGTTCGCACAGCCAACGTTGACGCGTCGACCCTTGCACTCGTCGGCGACGTCAACGCCACAACTTCGATCGAGATTGTCGGCGGCGCTCCTGCCGGCCTGAAGACCCTGACCTGGAACGGCCAAGAGCTGTCATTTGAACAGTCTTCACATGGCGTAATCACGGCCACGGTAGACTTCTCTCCGCCTGAGATCAAGCTCCCATGCTTCAGCCAGCTCAAATGGAAGACGATCGACTCGCTTCCTGAAATCCAGCCTTCATACGACGACTCCCTCTGGGCAGACGCCAACCTCACAACCTCTCCGAACGACAAATTCCCCATCAAGACGCCCGTCTCGCTCTACGCGAGCGACTACGGCTTCCACACTGGCTCCGTCATCTACCGCGGCCACTTCACCGCCACAACCGCCGAGTCGACCCTCAACATCACCCTCCAAGGCGGCCACGCCTTCGGCGCCTCCATCTGGCTCGACGACCAGCACCTCGGCTCCTGGCCCGGCTCCCCCTCCGCCCCAAGCGGCACCCTCACCATGGCCCTGCCCTCCCTGAAGCCCAACACGTCGCACGTGCTAACCGTGCTCATCGACCTCATGGGCCTCAACGGCAACTACGTCCTCGGCGAAGACAACCTCAAGACGCCGCGCGGCATTCTCGCCTACTCCCTCTCAGGCCACGAGCCCGACGCCGTCAAGTGGAAGCTGACGGGCAACCTCGGCGGCGAGCGCTACGCAGACAAGAAGCGCGGCCCGCTGAACGAGGGGGGCCTGTTCGCCGAGCGGCAGGGCTACCATCAGCCCTCGCCGCCTTCGTCGTCCTGGGCGGCCGGCGGGCCGACGTCTGGGCGCGCGGCGCCGGGCGTGTCGTTTTATACGGCCGAGTTCGCGCTCGACCTGCCGCGCGGGTACGATGTGCCGCTTGCTGTTCGGTTTGGCATGAGCGGGGAGGGAAATGGGGCGTACCGGGTGCAGCTCTTCGTCAACGGGTTCCAGTTTGGCAAGTTTGTGCCGCATATTGGGCCGCAGGCTAGGTTCCCTGTACCGGAGGGAATACTGGACTATCATGGGACGAACACGGTGGGAATTACGCTGTGGGCGATGGAGGAGGGCGGCGCGAGGGTGGAGGGTATGGCGTGGGATGTGGCCATGGTCACGGCGAGTGGGTTTGGAGACGTGGAGCTGACGGAAGCGCCGATTTGGGAGAAAAGGGAGGGTGCGTATTAGGCCCTAGGCAGGTTGTATTATGTTTGAGGTCTGCTCGTATCCTGTGTTTGGGATTCGATGAGATGGCGGAGATAGCTAGCTGTACCCGTCTTCATATTCGTCTTCTTCTTCGTCTTCGTCTTCTTCGCCATCGTCTGCCATTCCCAGCACCAGATCATCCGAACCTCTTTCCGAGTCGTCCTCGTCCGTGCCTCTGGTGTAATCGTTTTCGTCTTCTTCTGATCTGGAGCCTTCTTCCGAATCATCAATGGGATTCGCCTCTCGGTGTAGTCGCAGGCGTTCTGCGAGTGAAAGTGTTTTTGGCGGCTCGTCTTCATCCTCGTCATCAGACTCCTCCTCTTCCGAGTCTGACAGAACGACTGGCGCCCTCGTACTGGACCCGCGTCCGCGAGTCTTCTGAGCAACCTCCTCAACGTCAGACTCCTCGTCCTCCTCTTCGTCATCGTCATCGATGACCACGGGTCGAGCTCGTTTTGCGGGCCTGCTTTGTACTGCAGGCTCTTCCTCGTCTTCTTCATCAGATAGAATGACACGTGATCGCTTTTTACTCCGCAATGGCTCTGGCGCAGCGATCTCCATGACCGACTCGTCACCAGCTTCATCCTCGTCGCTGTCGTCCTCGATGATCTGGCGACCCCTTATCCGCTTAGTTGGTGATCTCGGCGGCGACGCAGCCTCCTCTTCCTCCATACTTTCTGCTTCCTCTTCTTCTGAGGAGTCATGAATTGTGTACACGCTATGATCGTGCGTCTGGATCTCACCTTCCACTGGTGAAAACCCAGCAGAAGATTCAGCCCAACCTTGCCCCAACTCCATCGCCAGCGTGTCATCCTCGATCCCAGAGCCCTCGTCGTCGTCTGTCTCGGGTTCTGGGACTGTAGCGTCGTCGATACCGTCGCTGTCGTAGTTGTCTAGGAACGAGTCGGGCTCTGGCACATCGTCGTCCTCCGACCAAACGAGGCGCTCCTCATCCAATGTACCGTCGGGCAACCGTGCTTGGCGCACTACATTGAGCAGGTAGTTGTGTCTGTAGCCGGAGAACAGCCTCATAGGGCAGAGCATGATCGCATCGAGCCTCTCCATTTCCTTGAGCCAGACCACCCTGGCTTCTTCGCTCAGGTCATTGTAGTCGTCTTCGTCAACATCCGGGAGATTCTTTCTCAGGGACCCAGGGCCAGTGAAAGCATTCAGGGACCCAGGGCCAGTGAGAGCAGTCAGAGTGGCACAGTCGCCTTCCCCGTTGCACTCGGCGTTGGGGTCATGCCACACATAAATCAGTTCCAAATCCTCGCCGAAACCGGGCTCAATTTCCTCCGTATCTGCATGGCAAGAAATAGCGTGGTCAGAGAAACACCATTTCAAGTCTGACACGTGAATTTGAGGGTCATCGATGTCGAAGCAGGGGTACACGGCCTTCAAGTTGGGCATGCTCAGAAAGTACTGATAGGGGATGAAATCTGCGTCGCTCCTTCTTGAGAGCGGCAGTTCCACGCCGAGATGATTGATCCTGTCTGAGAGGCCGGGGATCTCAAAGCGGTCGGGACCGTCCGCATAGCTGTAAGGTCCTGAGTCTTTCAGGTCGTCATCGATGTCGCCGGCTGAGATCATGACTATATCGCTATCCCGGTTGAAGGGAAACGTGGCGGGCTTTAATTCCTCAGTGTAGAAGTCGAGGACATGGGGATACCTGCCGAGGTACAGGTTGCGGGTTTCGTGGTAGACGGAGAGCATGGCCCGCGAGGCGGCCGTCCTTGCGAGCAACGAGTTGCCGGCAAAAGCCAGCCACTTTCCGCGCACGTTCCTGCGAATAAAAAACTCCAGAACGCGGTGAGATACGTTCAGATCATCGCAGAAATAGTGCCAGATGAGTGCACGCAGCTCAATGGGCAGCCGCATGAACTGAGGGAAGGAGCGGGGTCCATCGACAGCGTGTCCCCAAAAGGGCTTCGCTCGTGCTCCGGAGCTTCCATAGGGATCTGAATCGCCCGAATCGTCAGAGCCTTCGCCATCGTCGCTTTCGCTGGCGCTGTCGTCGAGGGCTTCCGTGTCGAAGAAGGCGCCGTGATGGGCTTTTCTCCGGGGCGCTTGCGAGCCATCAGAGCTCTCAGATTCTTCGGCGTCCGAGTCTGACGGCTCAGAGCCCCCAAAGGCAACGGTTCTGGTCTTCTGTTCGATGACTGATGAGTCGTCTTCCGAGGCGGAGTCTTGAGGCTCCTCTGGCCGAAGTCTTGCCATGGTGGGGCCGAGAATGGCAGGTGTCTGGAGGTCTAACGGCGGGCTCCTCGAATATGGCTTTTCGACGAGGAATAACTAGTACATTGTTAGAGATCAAATGTATGGGAGATGTAAATGAGAGTTGGCAGATGAAATGATGTCGATGGGTTCGATGGATGAGGTCGACGACAGAGCCAGAGCAGGAATCGGCTGAGGCGCCTTAGGTCAGCAAATTCCTCCAAGGACGAGACGCGTCGAGATCCAAGTGTCAGACGCCAAGTCACATGACCATGACTCAGCATCTGGGCTCACGATACGGCGCTCCTGTGTCGCCACTTCCGAACTTGCCTGGTCCTCTCTGAACACCAACAGTATATTACCAGCTCAAAATCAGCTTGCAACCTCTCCCGACTCTGGTCCCTCAGTCTTCTCTCTCTCCTGACCCAGCGACTCGAAACGTCTGGACCAACAGCTCATCATACTCCCGCATCTGCATATGGCTGTATACGCTATGGCATCCGACAAGGCTCCCCAGCATCCCGTCCACCTCACCAAGCCTTCGCCTCAGCCACGTTAATCCTGTCAAGGTGCGCACTGCATGCACCATGGTACATGTCTTACGGCCATCCCAGAGGCATCAAGGCTTCGAGGAAGCGTCCTACGAATGAGCCAAGCACCTCTGCCAGCAACCTCCGGCATCTGTCTCCTCCAACGTCTTCACGTGTTCAAGGAACTCATCCTTTCGCCTCGTCACGGACCACACGCTACAGGAACCTTACACGCACGACATCGGCAAGCGAGTCCAGCGTGGATAGCAGTACCTATGACGGCATGGCTGCGCCGTTTCAGACGTACACGACGTTCATGTGTAGCCGGGCTCCCTAGAGGCTTGGTGGTCCTGGTTCTCGTCAAGGATCTGTCTCGAGGTGCCGAAAGGCCGGCGGCGTGCAGTCAATGTCGTCGTCGTCCGTTGGCGCTCTGTCGGCGACTGCCGTCGAGGGCTCCGCCGGGTAGTTGCTGGGTGTGGACACGGCGTGCCGCAGGCTTCTGTCACGCAGCTTGCGTAGCACGGTGAGAATTGCTGCCACTTTGTGTGGTGTTTTCGCGTCTTAGCGGGAGACTAAAGTCAGGGTGAGGGACCTTTCGTGACAGTTCATCTACATCACCAGATTCACAGGCTGTCACAAGAAGCAAGTGGAAATAGTCGAAGAAAACATGGATGCAACTCGCTATGGATCAACTCTCTGTCTCATACCACCAGCCCCTTTACTCGGCAGCATTGCTAGCGCACGTCCAAGGCTTGGTGCCCTTCTCCGTAGCAATCGCCTCAATGGAAGCCCACAGGCCGAGCACGCAGATAAGGAAGCCAGTCAGGAAGAGCACGACGTTGGCGAAGAAGCGGCACGTCTGCGCCTTGCTGGAGAAGTAGTTCCCCTTGTGCATCCACAGCCAGAAGATGCCGGGGAGGCCGTAGGAGAACCAGCTGGCGAAGAGGGCAGCGATGAGGCCGAGCAGGCTGTTGAAGACGGGAATGGACTCGGCGATGACGGTGGCGAGGATCCAGATGCCCAAGGTGACGGCGACCCAGGCAAGGTTGGAGAGCTTGGTGCGGCGGATCATGTGCTTGGTGTCGCGGAACATGCGGGAGAAGATGTACTTGGCGGCAACGTGGCCGTAGATGACACCAGCGATGACAATGGTGGGGATGGCGACGCCCCAGATGGCCTTGCGCATCGTGGGCGAGTGCGCAGCGCTGAGGGCCGGCGACGGGACGTCCTGGCCCACGTAGACGTAGATGACAATGGCGGCGAGGAGGTAGAGGGTCGTGTCGCAGATCTGGAGCAGGGCAAGCGCCTTTGGCCAGTCGTCCGGGTTCTTGAACTCGCCAATGACGCTGAAGAAGCACGAATGGCTCGAGAAGGCCACGGCAATGTTGGTGACGGCGAGGAATGCGCCGGTGAAGCCGAGGTGGCGGGCGACCTCGATCGAGCCTGAGCCGATGGGCTTCTCGGCGGCGACATCGCCGAGCGTCATGAGCATGGCGACGGTGATGGAGAGGCACGATGTCATGGACATGTACGACGTCCACTTGAGGGTGCGCGGCAGGTTGAGGACCCAGAAGACGGCGAGACCGACGACGGCCCAGACGATGGTGCAGGTCGAGCTGTTGGTCAGCGTGTTGAGGCAGATGGTCCAGGTCAGCAGGTGGGAGCCCATGACGAAGACCTGGAAGATGACCTGCGCCCAGCCGAAGATCTCCTGGAAGAGGCGGCCCATGCCGATGGGCTGGCCCATGACCTCGACGGCGTCGCCAAAATTCTGCACAAAGGGATAGGCGCGGCGGAACTCGGCGAGCACGACGCCCGAGTAGGTCGACAGCGCGCTCATGACGAGGATGAGCACAATGCCGGGCACGAGACCGACGGTGGCCAGCACCGACGGCAGGGACAGGATGCCAAGGGAGACCGTCTCAGCAATGAGGACGATACCTCCTTGCCTGAGAAATTGTCAGCTGCCCGAAACACCTCTGACGACTGATCGACTAAAAGGGCAACATACCACCAGTTGAGAGTCTTGTAGTTGATGAGTTCACCCTCCTCGCTTGAGAGCATGCCGCCGTCGTCGTGGCTGGCGGCGGGCGCCTCGTACCTGGGCACGGCATCGTCATAGCCCTCGTTCTTGGTGTTGGGACCACCCGACACGTTAGCGTCGGGGGCATTCGTCCAGTCGGCAGAGTTGCCCATGTTGTGTGCGATAGGGTGATATGGAGAGATTGATGTTGAGGTCTGTCAAGGAGTGGTAGGCAGACCAATGTGTCCTTCACCTGTTGTCGCGACACTGACTTGTAAAGACAGCACCTGAATTGTCCAAAGCAGAGTCCAAGTCAGAAAAGAGGAGAAAACAGAGAACCACTGCAAAACCATCCACATTCCTGACAGCTCGAACCGGATGCAGCTTCAAGATATATCCCACATGGCCATTCCGCGATCGGCTCCCTCGCATTGACTAATGCCACGAGGCCAACAGTCACAACAGGTCCAGCAAGGAGGCGATGCGTCAATGATGGGTCCCGCGCGAGGGCGAAATTCGGCCGACAGCTGCGGCATGGAGCCGGGTCCAGAATTGGACGGCCTGTGACTCGTCCAGAACCTGGCGGCGCCGACTCATTGTCCTCTGGCGCTCTGGCGTTTTGGTGCTCCAGGCGCCCATCGGGCCCCCCGGACGTGAGCCTCGGTGCGGAAGAAGGCCGGCCTCTCGATTTTTTGGCCGGGCTAGGCGTTGAAGGGGCTAGGGCCTCCCCGACTATTACGAGACATGACAGGCAGATCATGACGGCTTGCCACAGGTTGCTGCGCGCGCAGGCAGTTCGGCTCGAATGGAATGAAGCTAGGATTTGACTTTTTCTCGTCGTCAGCCGTGAGACATCCTGATCCTGCAAGCCACACACACCTACAGTGCGCCCCTTCTCCAAATTTGGGGCTTCTTTGTATGCAGAGAAGCACACGAGACATTCCATGGATCGTACGTTAAGCTTTTCGAAGGCCCGCCGCGGGTTCCGTAAAAAATCTGCCGTTGGGTAAGTCTTACGTATTGATCCGCCTCCAAGACGCCCTCTCGACAGAGCATCGGAGCGGGACTAGATGAAGAAATGGAGCCGGTATGGAGCAAAGAAATGGACCTTTGACTAATATCTGTCAATCCATTAGGCAGTCGACTGCGTTCGAGGAGGGCCGCAAGAGCCTCACGGAGCACCCAAACCCGGACCGTGACCGCGACTCCCCCGGTTCCAGCCAAGCCCGCAATTCTCTGTGTGACTCGGCCCACCGATCGAGCGCCGTCGCATGAAGCCGTCATCTTTTGTGCCCCCTCGCCATGACAAACGAAATGCCAGATGGGTGCTGCTGGCCCCTATTTCCCCGTGGGGAGAGGCACGCCTTTTTGCCTTTTACATGATAACTATGACACGATTCCTGGGGGAACACGGCAGAGAGCAGACAATATTGAAACTCTGTTTATGTAAAGCGTCGTCGCAAAAGCACCCTGCGGTTGAGGGGAAGAAGCCATGTCACACGCCTTTACAGGTATCCCGGTGCATAATGGGGAGAGAAGTGCGGCGTACTTCCCGGGTCGGACCGCGCGCCCTGTTTCTCTTTTTCCCTTCTGGGCGGCCGTGCTTCGGGCTTCGGGTTCTGCAGGCTGGCCTGAACTGTCGAAAAAAACAAATACGAAGAAAAATAAAAAATGTGGTGGATGATCCGATCCCGGAGGACGCTATCCGGCACTAAAGGCATCGAGAAGCGGGGGAGCGGAAATGCGAGAAAGACTCGATTCAGCAACAGCTCGGGTTTGAGTTTTTCCCACCCTTCGCTTTTCAATTTTCGACCTGTCTGCAGCACTGTTCATTGCGTACAGTACTCTTGCCCAAAGCCGATGCGATTCGTTGGAGAGACCCATCTGCCATGAGGTCCAGCTTGTCATGCGATGTCTGTCGGTAAGTGGATCTGGGGAAAGGGAGAGCGCCGAGACCTTGAGCCGTCTCTACCCCGTATTGCCTTATTTTGCCTTGGGCCATTATGGCGTTATGTCGAGCCTCCCCGTATTCTTCCCCTTGAAGGTGGACTGATCTCCCTCGGCTTTACCCCGTGTTTCGATGGCGTGACCGATCTGATGCTAACCTGGGGTTACCCGTCGGTAGGCGGAACAAGGTCAAATGCGTCAACGAGGGGCATCCGCCGTGTCGCAAGTGCGAGAAGGCGGGGAACCTTGAGTGTGTACTTTCAAGACCAGAAAAGCCTGGTGCCAGGACGCCAAAGAGGGTGAGACTTGCTGCTGGAGCCTCTCGAGATGACCCACCAGGAGGTGCTGTCCTTGGTGCTCGTGAGACGGTCCCAAATTCTTCAGGTTCGGTAGTCACCGCAAGTATCAGCAGTTCCAGCCAGCGTAATGTTCGCGGACATGGACATGCTCCCGGTCAGTCTCACGAGGCCCCGAGCCTCGGAAACATCACAGCACATCTTGCT